AGCCCATGTACTTTTGTAAAAAAGAAATACGAATGCGATCCCTTGTTGTGTCAAAAAAAAAACGCTATCAAACCAAGACTAAAGCATAAATCCTACCGAGAGGACTGGCAGAGGCAACGCGGCTAGAAGGGAGTCTGCTGTAGTGGTGAAACAGGTCAGGGTGTTGCCTATTGAACTTGGTAGTATGTCAACTGTGTTAACATGGTCATCAGAAGAAAGGAATTTGGTTATGTAGGGAAGGAGAAAGTGACGTAATTGGCTAGGAGACATTGACCCCACACCGCCACCTGTGGTAGAAGTGGATGCAACTGGTGATGTGTCTGCAAAATTGTCAGGCAAACCCGTCGTCTCCAAGTGGGAGGAGCTCGAGGAATTGGCATAGAGATTGCCAGACTCACGAAGAAGGAAACGATGCCAGACACAGTGCCACAACTGGCCAAATAACTCGCTTGCAATAGCAGGGCGGTGATGCACCAGATTGAGTAAACCGCGCAAAGTTTCCCGAAAAGAAATCTAAAGGTGAGACGAGGATGGTAATAATGATTAGACAAAGTGGCAGTTTCACGAAAAGTGATTATACCGCTTTAATGTCGTTGAAAACGGTTGCCTGTTGATTCATCAAGCACTCAAAAGTAGAAATAGAGCTGGTCTCAGTTGACTTGGTCGTTTCGCCTTTCATCTCCACTTCGGCTAACTTCACATCAGTGAAGTCAGGTTTAGTGCAATGCACAGGTGTCTGAGATGCCAGATTTGATGCCCTGGCATCCCTCTCCAGAAGAGAAAAAAATCGAGCTTCCGATTGCACGATTACTGATGATCGACTAAAGTCGGTGTCGCAAAGAAGGACCTAAAAATCCTGAGGTCAGAGATGAAGAATGAGACTTGCATCAAAGAAGACAGGAAGCCAAAATCCATCCTTGTAGTGGAGTTCATCCCACGAATTTGAAACAAAGAGAAAAAGAAGACGAGCCAAAAGGCTACTCTTGGCTGTAGTTGTCATGGCAGTGTTGGAAGAGGCCTCGGTTTCATTATCGATGAAGAAGGGAGCAGAGATGAGATCAGAACCCAGCAAGAAAAGATTGACATACTTCTCACGGATGTCTGGAAGCGGACTAAGGAGACCACAACAGAAGGCCTGTTCCATCTTCACGAAAATCTCATGAGTCTTTGTAGAGACGTTCGAGAAAACCTGTAGAGGGATTAGACAAATTCCTTGAAGGCGTTACTGCAAGGAGGGGGTGAAAAGGAAAGTCGCACAACAGAAAAGTAGCCTTAATTAGACCTTTTCCACCATACCATCAATACCAACAGGTCAGTAGATAGCCCCAAGTTTGCAATGCCATTCTATTTCCAATGGAGAGTTCGAGAGAAGCATTGTCACGCCAACCTTAAGCCCACCGACCTGATAGATACAATCGAGGATGTCACGAGCCGCCTCCGAGTGCTCCGACCATCGCGAGTAGGCAGACCAGAGGCGTACGAAGAAGGCGACCTTTTCACGAGTGGTTGGTGCAAAGTGCTCCTCCGCCTTAGGCACGTTTATCCAATCCCGAAGGATACGCACCACTGCGCGGAAGAGCTTGGCATCTCTTGCACGTTCCAGGATGTAGAGGAAGTCGGGTCCAAAAGCATTTTTCCGCATTTCCGTGCTCATCACATTCATGCGTGATTTGAAAACATCCAGAGTTTGGATTAAGAGGTCCGTCAATTCTGAAAGATGAGCAGCTACTTTTTTTCTCATGTAAACCATAACTCCAAGGGAGTGTCAAAAGCCAACTTAATCGCAAGGGCAAAAAAAGCCATTACATATTTACTTCAAGACTGAATCTACTGTCTTAAAGAAAATTTGCTTTTTCATCGCATCAACCCTCTTCTTAAATGCGAAAGGCGTCCGCCATCCCCCAAATCAGATCGCAGAGACAATAACTAGTGGAGCCCAGATGGGACACGGAGAAATTGCAGAATTCCAACGAGGTGAGAGCACATTTTCCCTTGCAGCCTTACCCAAAGAAGCTCTACAACAAAGAGAACGTCCAATCCCAAAAGCATCCTAAGCCGACCTTCAGAACCTGAACAGGGACAACAGCAAGCAGAGTGGCGACTAAATGAAAGTGATGACCACGTTCCCAAAGTCGGGCATTTCAAGTACGCCCAGCGAATCCAAATCATACTTTACTGCGATGTAAACTGAGATAGTAAGTGTTCTAAGAGCAGGTGGTTGTGGAGAGGAAAAATTAAAAAAAAAAAAAGAAAGTAGCACTAGAAAGGAAAGATGAGAACCAAACTTCCAACTCAAGTATGTGCTGCTCAGTGGAACAGTGAAAAAAAAAATCATCGTATAGCATTTACACTGGGATTTTTTTTTACAAACGCGAACCAAAAGCAATCATCGAAAGGCAACATTTAATGCCACTTGACATACCATCTGGTGAAACACGCATGGAACACACGTATTGGAACACTTATCCAAAAAAGTGAGAATGCAAGTACAGTAATTTCATAGCCACAAGCTTCAGAAAATGCCGCTGGCAATTAAAACTAATCGCGTAAAAATTGAAGACTTACGACTCAGAGCTGCAGACTCCTGAGGTGTGCTGTTGACAGGGGAACTGATTACATCATGAACCATTCGATGAAACATTTTCAGCAGATGCGTAAGGCAACGATCCACAAAGGCGTAGGGATTTACTGAAGCTTGTTGAGTTG